CACGCACCCTGGGAGATCTGCATGTGGGGTGCAGTGGGGCAGGCTGCCGCTGGGGGCTAGAGCCAGGGCAGTGCCAGGCTCTTCCTGGCAGAGGGGTTGGGATGTGCTGCGCTCAGGGTGGAAGACAGTGGCACTGGGAGGGAGGGATGGGAGGCTTTGCTACAGCAAATTTTGGGGTGGCTGCTGCCCCCCCGTAGCCCCTTCCCAGTACGGCTGCTGCCACCTGCCCCGAGCTCAGCCCAGCCTAGCCTAGCCCCCCCTCCCTCCTGCCAGGAAGAGCCTGGCACAGCCCTGGCCCCAGCCCACAGCAACAGCCCGCCCTTGCCCCATGTAGATCCACCCCCCCATACCTCCCAGGGTGAACAAACCAGCAGGAACTGCACCCCCCAGATGAGCCATTCACAGCTCTGTCCCACACCCCACCCCGGCTGTGCAGTGCCTGCCCCTGCCCAGCCCCACTGTCTCCCTCACCACTGCATGCGCTCCCCTCCCCACCCCTGCTGCAGCCACTGGAATCCCGTAGTTGGACTGCCTTGTGGCCCTACTGCTGCCCTGCATTTTGAAGGGCTAAGCCCCACTAGCCCCCCGCTTCCACCGCCTATGGCCTTGTCCCCAAAGCAGGTCTGTGAACCAGTTATATATAACCTGGCTCAGACTGAAGTGTAAATTTATCTTCTTATCTAGTTTGACTCTTTCTAATTGAAAGGACTTTTCATTTACCAAATCCTGTAGTGTGATCTCCTGTCCTATACACGTTAGGCTTTACTTTCACTCTGCTCCAACCAGGGCCATCCTTGCGATCCTGATAAAAATTGCACAGATCTTCCTCAAAATTGCAGCTTGCCTCTGCAGGATTGAAAGAAAGCCCTGAAAAAAGATAACCATATGTTCTGTTAGGCAAAATACAGTGCAACTACTTAAGTATCTGAAGAACAAGAATTACAGAGTGTACTTGGTTTTATCTTTGTTTGTCCATGATGACCAATAGCACATTTGACAGAAAAAGACATACACAAGGACATTGTACACATGTGACATAAAGTGAGGCTGACAGAATTATCATTCCTATTTGACAAATGGATCTTATTTTCTTATATTTTTGCCAGAGGGGGACTGAAAAGGTCTCTTTCATAGTCTCCATCAAAATAAATAAACTAGATGTAAAAGTAAAAGAAAAGAAAAGAAAATTCCTCTTTTGGAATATAATGCATTAAGACATTTAGACATTTGTTTTTGTCCTCCTTCTTCATATAAAAAGTATCCATACAAAAAGTGTGCATGGAATATATTTTCTTTTTAATTTCCAAGGGAATAGCCTTCTAAGATTTATTTTATGTATAAATAACATTCTTTTCCTTAAAGTCTTTATTTACCTCTGTGTGTGTGTATGTATGTACACACACAAACACACACACACAGATTGTTTAGCATTTTTATGTGCACTGATCTCTGAAGCTTTGCAACGATCCACGTCAATATTGAACATTTCACTGCACATAGACAAACAACACTGTGATATAATTTATTAGAGAACTAAACTAATCTCTTCAGCCACACTAATAGCTTTTTGATTATCTCCTTTGTAGCACTCATATGCCAGTTTATTTTGGTCTAAAGATAGCCCCATATGGTAAACAGTTTCTAAGTGACGTGTTTCTATTTCTGGAAGAAGTTCACCAGCCATTTGAACAAGTTATTAGGAAAACTGTTTGAGATGTGGCAAGAGGCACACTGGAAACAAACAAAAAACATTCCCTGTGCTGCATATATGCAGCGTAGGCTCAAAATTTGAAAGCTGGATAGCCAGATATCAAAAAAAAAAACGCAGAAAAAAAGCAGGGCAGGGCACAGTCCAGGGCGGTGCCCTGTGAGGCAACCAGAGGTTTTGGTCCTCCAAAGAGATGCTCTGGTAGCTGGCCAGACCATCTCTATGCCTGCCCCTTGCCCCAATGCTGTCACATGCTACCTGCCTGTGCAGGGCAAGGAACAGTATAGGCTGCAGTAACCTGGACCCGGGCTCCGTTCCAGGTAAATAAGGGGTCGGGGAGGCTGCGAGGGTATGGGGGACCATCGGGGAGGGCAGCTTGGGAGGAGTGGGTCCTCTGACTGCCCCCTGCAGGGCGTACATGTCCCCCCACACGGCTCCAGCCCCGCCGTCCTGCACAGCCCACGGATCACTGGCAGTAGCAGTGACCATCGGAGTGCTCAGGGCCTCTAAGCACAGCTCCCCCTGCCTGGCAGAGGGCAGTGCAGCTCAGCCCTGGCTGCCTGGCACCTGGTGCTGCCTGTGCCATATCACGCTGGCCCGGCCCAGCTTGGTGCCATGTGCCTTTGGGCAGCTCTGGGCCGCTTGGGCTGTCACCTGAGGCCCCACGCCATCTGCGGGGACTGCCTGTTGCTCCAGGCCAAGTCCCATGCATTGGGCCGGTTCCGTGCATGCAGGTTCCATGCATGCAGTCCCTGTGAACTGGGCTAGGCCCTGGGTGACAGCCCAAGTGGCCCCGGTGCTGCCTGAAGCCACATGGTCCCATGCTGCGCGGCGCTGAGCCAGGCCGGTCCCAAGACGAGTGGCACAGGTGGTGCCAGCTTTGAGGCAATCAAGGCCATGCTGTGCTGCTGGGGACTCTGGCCACAGTGGGCCCTGAGCACCCTATGGTCACTGCTACTGCAGGGGTGAGCTGTGGCAGGGCTAGAGCCCTGCAGTGGGGCTGGGGCTTCATGGGGGGGGGCATGTGGGCCATGCGGGGGGGCATGTGCCCTGTGGGGAGGAGCTGTAGCCCTGTAGGGTGGGCTGTGGCACTGTGGGGAGACGCTGTGGGCCCTGTTGGGGGGGCAGTCCGTGTACTGTGCGGTGGGGGCTGTACCCTGTGGGAGGCCCCCCCCTGAGCACCCCCCCCACACAGCCCCCCCACAACCCATCCACAACACCCACATCCCCAAGCCACCCCCACAAACTCCTCACCAACATACCCAGCCACAAATCTCAAATCCCCGTGCAAGCCCCATGCCCCCACAACCTCACGGCCACAAACCCTACACCTACCCACAAAGTTCCCCACCCCCCATCCAAATTGCTTTAAACTTGTAAATATTTCAGTAAAACATTGCCCAACTGATCTCCTCTATATATAGTGGCATTTCATTTTAATAGCAGAAGAATACTATTTTGGGTATTTTAATGAGAGAATTTGGGTTTCTTACAAGAGTGCTTGCAATTCTTAAACAAGGAACACCAGGATTTCTGCTGGTGAGACAAGTGGCAAGACCTGTGCAGAGGAGCCTGTCCAGAGTCAGCACTGGGGACCCAGATAGAGGGCAAATGAGGTGGCTGACCTATTGGCCATTTAGGGCCAAGAGGACATGCTTTGACAGTTCAAAGCAGGCCACCACAAAGAGCACATCTTCTGGGCGATAGCTGCCCAGATGGCAGAGCGGGGGCACCCCATCCAGGTCTGGCAGGGGCACAGCCATTGGGCCGCAGGTCCAAGGGGGCGGATGCTGTCGCAGGTGGCAACAGGTCACAGTCAGGCAGCAGCCCCCACTGCCAGATTGCTGCAGTGGGTAGAGGGGGCAGGGCCACTCCAGGTTAGGGCTGCTTCAGCAGTCCAGCTGGCACAAGGTGTAGTATTCCCAGATACCAAGTGGCTGAACCTCAGAAGCTCCTGAGAATAAGTAGCCCTGAGCTGCTCGCCAGGGTAGGTTTTTATATTGCTGGGGACAGCAGAGGGCAGGTTTTTATACTGCTGGAGACAGCACAGGTGCTAGCCCCAGGCTCTAGCTCTCCCTGGCTGCAGATCCAGGAGGAGCTGGGCAGAGTTATTTTGCCCCAAGTGGCACAATTTGCCCCATACCAAAGTGGGCACATGCACTGAGACATAAATCCCTGGCTCTAATTTGTGCCGCTCCTATTTGAGCTGCTTCAAGCACACGTGCCTATACGGCTTGAAAAGTCGACTTTCCATAGCTAAGTAGAACTTTATGACATTATTAATTTCTGCAGAATCTAAAGGGCCTTGTCACAGGTTCACTTGCAACAAGTGAAAACGACTGGAATAAAGTAACCTATTAAAGTTAACACATGTTAGGAGATAACCCTTGATTGAAAGGGAACAACTTAGCAATGCTATGAAGTCTCAGCACATGGTAAACAGATTGAATGCAAGTCTGTTTGCCTTTTAACTGTATTTAGTAAGCATTAAGCTCAGCATATGACACCACCTTAAGTTTAGGCTTAAAAATGCTCCTGGCTTTTGAGGCTGCAAAGATTAACTTTCTGAAGTGAACTAAATGTAAACTAGTACCTGCTGTTTTGAAACAGCTGGCTTCTATGCCTCTACTCCTGTTCTTCATTTTCCCAAGCTACTGAAGAGTAAAAGCAAGCCTGTCCCATCAGGTTTACACTGCTGTAGTCAGCAGTGAAAGAAACTAGATTTATATCAGTTCCTTTCCGTTGGTCTTTGATTGTAAGTGGAAGAGGAAATATTTGGGAGGAGAATCTAAAACGAAGGTTGTGGATCAGAGTAGTGAGGCTCTCCCTCATGCACAAAACTGACAGAGGTTTGAGGAACTGATAGAGTAAAGGCCCCAAAACATTTTTATAGCAGCCGGAGGGATGAGAGCAGATGAATGTATTGGAGACCCTATCTCTTGCAGCAGCCATAAGGCTATGGGTAGGAAGGAAGAGCAGAAAGTGAATGTTTCTCCTCCCCTTCAGCAGGCCAATGGAGTTGTGGTGGCTTTCAATTTATTAGATGTCTACAATCAACTATGAAAGACAAAGATAGCAAATGGAGTCTCTGCCATCCCCTCTTCCATTCTTTTGAATCAACCTCTGGCTAGCCAATTTAGTTGGATAATGGCTGGCTGGTATAATTTTTAAGCCTTGAGTTAATACCTGTCCGGTTTTGTACCAAGATATGGAAAATGTTGGTAAATGTAATGGCTTTTAGTTTACAAAGGATTTCACTTGGAGTCTTCTGAACAGCCAGAGGCATAACATTACTTGAGGTTGGACACTGGCTAAATGAACTAACCTCTGCAGCATGTGCTTCAACACAACATCACAAAAAATATTGTGTGACATGAACTTAGCAGAAAATCTTAGTAAGCCTGTAAGTAGGTCCCTTATTCTGTTGCCTATCGCAGGCCAGTTAGCTCTGCTAATAGTCCTACCAGACAAACTTCAGTTTCTACTAATTCAAACGAAACAAACCAAAACCCTCCCTCCTCCCCAGACATTAGGAAATGAGCCACTTTCTGCTCTGGATTTTCCTTGCATAGCAACTTGGCATCTCCTCCTAACAAGCTGTTCCCTCACAGCCTGCCACCTTCTGCTCTTTCCTCTGGGTTTTAAACTCACAGCAGGACACTTCTTCATTAGCAGAATGTCCCACAGCTGAACCTCCTTAACAGGACTGGCTGCCCCTTCTTAAGGGGTCAGACCACCACAGGGCCAAAATCAGGCCGAGTGTAAGTGTGTGCAATTCCACTGACATCCTTCAGTTCCATTTATTTTCAGAATGCTGAATGTTGGCCCCGATATCTAGAGTAAACTGTTTATTCTGTTTAAGTGCTATTGACTGTATATAGCCCCAAATACATACACATTCAGAAAGTTAAAATAGAAAAGGGAAATTTATCAGCATACACTAATAAACAGCTCAGAATTTTATAACAGACTGCAAATATAACTAAGAATCCAGAAAGCACAGGCTGTTAAACAAAACCAAGTAATTCCAGGAGAGAAGATCATGAAATAAAAACTGCAGTTAATAAATTTAAACCTGTGGATTAACAATGCATCTGAAGTCTGATTAATATCTTCCATAAAGTCCATCTTTGAACTGTGCAGATAAAAAAGGGCGGGGGGGAGGGAAGGGAGAAAGGAAATTACTTCTTCATTACTGAGAAATGTATTTTTCTATTTTGAGAGACTTCAAAACTATGACCAAAAAAGAACGAATGGGATTGATGGGGGGATCATTAGTCTATTTTGTTAGAGTATTACTTGGCAGTGAAAAGTAGCATTCGAAGTAGACAATAGCTAGCTAGTCCAGAGATAAAGGCTGTACTCACACGGGACTAACTCCTGGCCCTCCCTTCTTCAACAGCAAGTATCATTTGCATCCAGCTGGCCACTACTGCCATGAAATCTAATCAGATCCTGAGGGACATTCTCTGGGGCACTTATGCTATCACCCAGGGAAGACAGGAGTATGGCCACATGGCAGCAACAAGTAAAGCAGAATAGAAATAGAAGTTGAGTCCAGGACATGTGGAAAGCTAGGACATGTACCCTATATTGACCGTGATGGGAAGGATATACCCTATCATTCTCCCTCCTACCACTAGGGTTTCTCATTCATTTAATTTTAGGGGCCTGATCCTTCCCTAGACTCCTACACAGGCAGGCTATACCAACTTCAGCCTATGTGAGGGAATGTGTTAAAACCTGCCCATGTCAGGAGTGAGATAATGGTAGCATTCCAACCAGATTTCAATCCCAAGGTCCTTCTTTGAGAGAAAGGGTAGCTAATTGCCCAAATGAATGACACTCTAGTACATATGTGGTAAAAACTTTAATTTAGCTGCTGTGAGCATTTAGATTAATAGATTTTAAGGTCAGAAGTAATGATAAAGTGATCTGACCTCCTGAATTACTCAGGTCACTGATTCTCATCATGCTATTATTTCTACACAAAGCCCATAACTTACGTTTGAGCTTCAGATCATTTCTAAAGATACCCTCTCTGGTTTTACTGGTTCCAAGTGGTGTTGAATCCACCAAAGCCATATATAAATTGTTCCAATTCTTAGTTACCCCCATTTTGAATCTGAGTATTATTTACTTCATAATATTGTTTCATTTCCTAACAGGAGCAGGAACCCAACAGCCCTATTGGGTAGCATCTGCATGTCACAATAGTCTATACCATGCACTGAAATCTGCACATTAAAGAAAGAGGGAGGGAGATAAAGTAAGGAAAGGAAGTACGAAAAAAAAAAGACTCATACCTGTCTGATTGCTGCAATAAACTGGGGAGAAAGAAAGGTCATCAAGAGCAACATAGCCCCCCTTAGGACTATTGAAGGCAACTTCAAAAATAACCTGAAACAAGAAACAGCAACTAATGAACTATATTACATATCAATAGAATGCTAAACAAATGAATCAGATGGAATTCTGATAAGATAACCTAGAAAAACTGCAGAGCATCTTTAAAAGGACAGCACAGCTCAGGTGAGATCTATCCCAGAAATGGTGGCCCGATAGAGGTTCTGGAATGAGAACTTCTCCCAGGTCATGGAAGCAGCAACAGAGCTGCTGCACCTATGTGGCTAGTTTCAGGGCTGCAACAAACTCGATGACTGCTAATCCCACCCATGCAAAAGAGGGTTTGGCTAATGGATGTGCATAGTCATGGACTCTAATCTGCTCCCAGACCATATCCATCCCAGAGCAGAAGTCACTGCCATGGAAAAGAACAGAATACTATGGCACATTGACTAAGTGAATTCTCAGCACTGACTCCCTAGAACCAGCTCCCCTCATCTACCACTTCATAATGGTTGTCCTTTCTAGTGAGTATAGCAAGATATTGGGGTGTTTTACACTGCTTTTCTATTCTTACGCTTTTGTACTTTGCAGTCAGCTTAAAGTTAAAGAAACAAATATCATCCCTAAAAATCTTTCTTAATTTATACTTTCCTAACAAATCTCATCTTCCTTCCCATATTAAGCTTCAGTAGGATTCCACAAAAATAGGCAATGGTAGAATTTGCCCTGAAGTGTCTAACTGATTGTCTACTTATCTTGGGTTGTTATTTTCAATCTGTGGTCCGCAGACCCCTGGGGGTCTCCAGACTGTGTCTAAGTTTTCCGTGAAAGATGATTATGATCAATCAAAAGTATGTGAATACCCACACTTACAATTTAAAGGCGTCTGCACCTCCATTCAAAAAATTTTAGGGGTCCACAAATGAAAAAAGATTGAAAACCACTGTCTTGGGGCATCACTGCTGAATGAATGCTTCCTATGCACAATCAATACTCAGTACAAAACTCCTCTTAGACTTAATGGAATCTTTAGCTCTTGTCCCTTTTCAGGATTGTCGCAGAGCACTTAGGTGCACTGCTCCTAAGTAGGAAAAAACGGCTAGGAAAAGAGCCCTAGCAGTGAGTGATGAACCCAGCTGCTGGTTGCCAGGGAAACCAGAGGAGGTCAGCTGACCAGAAGCGGCAGGGCCTGGCTCCCTTATAAAGCCCAGGGGCTGAGGCCAGGCTAGCAGTTCCACGCCAGCGGCCAAGGGGGAAGGAGCTCCCTCAGGGAAGAGAGGGGAAGCCTGACTGAAGGAGCAGCATCTGACATGGCTGAGGGATGGAGTATTCCCTGGTAGGCTGGAATGTTGTTATAGCCGGGCGGCTTCCATTTAAGTTACAGCTGAGGGACTTGCGTTTTGTTTGCTGTTTGTTACCGTTGGTTTGGGTGAGGCTAGTAGGGGTTGGAGGAGGCCTCATAGGGGACCCACAGCAGCATGGGGACCCCAGCGCCAGTGAGGGTGCAGCAGTTGGGGTGTACTGACCCCAGCCCCAGGAGAGGGGGGGCAGCACTTTGAGAAGCCCCAGGAGAGGGGGCAGAGCAAGACAGGGCCGCACAGGGCCCAGAGAGGACAAGAGGGCCACATTACAACAAGGCTGTGACCGAACAACGTCAATTCCATCTGCGAGGCTTGGGGTGTGGTAAAGGGGTGGTTGGAGCCAGGCATAGCCCATAAGGCTAGGGTGTCCCTGAAGCACCCATTGCAGAGCGGGTCCCACACGGGGTCCAGGAGTCCACAGGGTCAGATATTACACCAAACCGTGTCCAAGAGGAGGTAAGGCAGCCTCCCAGATATTTATTCTCCATCAAAGACGTGGCAGATGAGAAGTGAGGGTGCCCTTTGGGCTAACTTGGCACGGGAAGGGGGCCTTGGGGAGATCACGGCCATCCCGCAGGACCCCATGCCGTGACAAGGATAAAGACTTTTCTTGGAGTAGGGTTATTTAGTCTGTGTTTGTCTGGTGGATCTGACTGATAGATCTGCTTTGTTATGAGCACTACAGGATGTGGAAAGGATATATAGCATGTAAAAATGAACAGTTTTATTTTGAATTCAATACATTTGAATGTCTGTGTCACAGGGAGGAACATAAGGGAGGACCCCAAAAGGCCAAGGTGAAACCCCGGGGTCAGGAACCCTCAGAGGGAAATGAAAGAAAAAGGGAAATACTTGCCTGCAGCGGGACCCGCAGCGAAGCTGGAGCCTGAGAAGGGACCCACACGGCTCATGTAGTCGTGCCTTTCTACAGTTGCGGCTGGCAGATGACATCAGCTGCATCACTGGCCGGTGGAAATAAAGCGGGCCACCGTCAAGGAAGAGGGAGGCAGATCGACACCGGTGAGAGCGCCGGCAGGAGAGGTTTTCCCAGAGCTCCTGCAGCAGCAAAAGGAGCCAGAAGCTGCTTTCCCCAGCAGGGAAGAATGCTGCAGAGCACGCAGTGGGACAGACTCCGCTGGCTGCAGCGAAGGGAGCTGGAGGCGGCTCCTCAAGACCGGGAACCCAGACAAGAGATCAGAAGGGAGCAGGAAGATCCCAACACCAATAGCCACAGCAGAAGACTGGGAGATACCAGCACATCTCAAGACACCAGACCAGGTAGGACTGTTGAGGGCCCTGGGAGAGGCGGCGAGGTGCACCGGGGGGAGCCAGGAGACAAGAGCAGTGAGAGGGGCTGTGAAGCATGGCCCTCTGGGGCATCGAGCCATCCCAGTGGGTAGTGTGGGGAAAAACACCCACCAGAGGGTCACCGTGGGTCCAGCAAAACCAAAGGCTGGGTGACGAGGGAGGAGGAGAGGGGAGTAGCCTGCAGGCTACCACGGCCGCAGATGGAGCCAAGCATAGACCACTAATATATGAAGGCAGGCATTGGTGATAGGGCCCAGGGAGCTGGGGAAAAGAGGCGGCTGGGCCCCTTAGAGTGTTTCAGCGATTTTTTTTTATATTTTATATTTCCCACTGTTGGAGGGGTTGAAGGACAAGGCTCATGGACTCTGATTGTTGTCTAAGTCTCAAGGCAGTTGGTAGCCTTAGGGAAAGGAAGTTGGTCTCGGGGCATGGATAGGATATTGCGGGCTGGTAACACATGGGCTGAGAGGACCATCCTGGCAAATGTAGTCAGGGGCTCAACGGTCGGAGATCTGGCCAGGAGGACACCTGTGTCCCGTCAAGGCTGGGTGTAAGGGCGAGGTAGAGGGGAGGTGGAGCCTCGCAGAAGACCGCCAGACAGACTTCCCACCATCAAGAGACTCCCCGGTGGTCAGACCCTCCACTGAAGCAAGATTCAAAGTCATGGCAGGCGAGATTGGGGAAGACTACACAGGAGGTAAATATCTACTTGACGGAACACCAGGGACAGACGGACGAACACCACCGAACATCCGGGCCAGAGCGGCACGTGACTGGATGTTCAAGGCCAGACAGGCACAGTCTGCAAACACATTATGCATAGTGAAGCAATAAGTGTTTTATGCTAGGGTATCCCTATCTTTGGCAAGTGGAATTAAACCCACATTCAGCCTTGACAGCTGTACCAGTTATATTCTGCTTATACCAAAACCTCTAAGAAGCTTCAGTCCTGTTCATCAGGGAAAGAAAAAACCTCTAATCAATATTTTCTCTGAATATGCTAGCAATCATATTAATGCTAAGAAATAATAATAACTATTATTATTCATAGATTGTAAGGGGCTGGAAGGGACCTCGCAAGATCATCGGGTCCAGCCCCCCTGCACTAGGCAGGAAATAAATTATAATACATTTTTGCTTTATCTTAGGGTCTTAGAGTTGTGTTAATAATGGGGAGGCGGCTAGAGGAGTAGAAAGCAAGCTCTGGTTGCAGAAGGCTAAAAAGAGAGAAGGAAAAATGCACCCCAGGCAGTAAACTCAGGGTACAGAAACTACCACAACTTTTAAAATTACATTAATTTTGCATTGTGTGAGCAGAATCTATTTGATTATGTGACACACAACCTGAGGCAAAGAATCAGAGGATCCCAGAAATATGCAACTGGAAGGGAGCCAAAGTGATTAAACCCCCTACACTGTGTAGGTTCAAGTACACCTAGACCAGCCTTAGCAAATGCTTGACTAAGCTGTTGTTAAAAAATTTCTGATGAAGGAGATTCCACCGCCTTCCTAGGTAGCCAGTTTTTGGTTCATATCCTTATAATTATAGCCTCCCCATCCTTATAGTTAGAATGTTTTTAATAATATCTAACTAAATCTGTGCTGCTATTTAAGTAGATTTATTTTTCTCCTTCCCCCAGCAGATATGCTAAACAACTGGTCACCAACCTCTTTTAACAACCTTATGGTTAACAGCCAGAAGTAAAGCTGTTCTCATGTCCCTCCATATTAGACTTATTATTACCATATTAAGCTATTATGCAAACAGTAGAAGACAGAGCTATTTCACACAGGTATTCGATTGTCTTACCTCTACTGGGTATGGTGAGTCAAAGTCAGCCTCTGCTAAACTCCACTCTTCATTCACTGTACCGTCTGTTTTCCAAATCTCTTCATAAAAGCCACTTGTATCTCGGATATAGAGGGTAAAAACAATGCCACTCTCCTGCTTCAGTTGGTAATAAAAGGATAAACAGCCAGACATGGGAATGCTTGTCCTAGGTGAGATTAGCTGAGCCACTTCCTGAAAATGCTTGACATAAACAGAATCCACATACATGTAGTGGCCTAAAAACAGGAAACAGATTTGAATATGCATAGCAACAACATTTAAAATAGGTGGGCTGGGTAGTGGTTTTTCTTTATATAAAATGCCTGTTGAGAACTACCATGGTAGGCTCCTTAGTGATGCCAATCGAAATTGGCATCACTAAGGCCAATAACAGGTGCCTCATCTGACAAGTTACAAGTGTCACCTCCCTTCCCATCTCACTTATTCCTGCCTACATTGATCTCCTAGGACAGTTTGGCATGGGCCTGTAGGTTTGTGGAAACAGGGCATCAGAAGTAAATAAGCCAATCGCAATCCCTTTTGCCTTTTTACCTCAAATTTTTAGTTTATTTTAGACTGAAGAAACTCATCTTTTCCCAAAATGTTTGTGGATGCTGATAAATGAAAAGATGCATATCATAGATGATTAACATGTTCCAATCATTTTAGATATTGCATTTCTGCTCACCCAACACTAAGAGCTAGATTCTTTGTTGGTGGAAAGTAGCATACATGACATCAGTGGAGTTACAATGATTTACATCAGCTGAGGATCTAAACCTATATATGCATATGTATTTATATGAAGTGTGTAGAAGTCTTTTTGTGTGTGTATGGGCATGGATATGCACACACGTGTATTTACACTCCCTGTCTTAGAAATGCATAGGGCTGCTGCTGCAATACTTTGACAAAAAGTACTAGCATTGGTCAAAGATGAGGCTCATCACGAAAAATGTTAGGCAGCAAGTAGAGAATGTACCAGGCAATAGAATGAAATGGTGAAAATGCAGCCTATTTCAGAGCTAGCATTGTAAAGGCTTTGTTTTGGTTTGTATATACCTGTTTCAAGAGAGGCTCCTTACCGCTATAGCCCATTAGTTATTTGATATTTTTCAAACCTGGAAGCATTAGATGTTGGGTTTTTTTTAACATGACCTAGGAACAGTGCTCACTTGGCAGTTGCTGCTTCTTGTCCAAGTCTGGAAAAGTCCTGTTTCCCCACTGCCATATTAAGCCAATTTTCAATCCAACTGTCCAATGGTCAAGGGTATTTTTTTGTGCTTCTTTGTCCTTAAGCAGTATTACCAGTTGTCACAGCTTAATGTCAATTGTTTGCAGTAAGCTTATTCACCAATGATGGAAGATTTTCACCAAAACTCTCCCCCTTGAAAGAGACTGTCCTAGGAATCAGTTTTTTAAGGCCATCTTGGTCAATATGGGCTTGGCCCTGGAAGGAAGCAGGCTGACTGCCAAAGAAGAATCCCTCACAGTTGCTGGAATTTGTTCAATGCATACAAATCTAGTGAAGTTGTAGACTGCCTATTAAACTCAAGTCAAATTTGTTAGTAATGGTTACTTGCCTTGGAGCAAAGCAGGGTTGGACTGACACTCTGAACTCAACTCATACAATTGTGAAAGAAAGAAGGAAGGCACAGCGGTATGAGTTAAGGAAGGAGCGTCAGCCATCACTTTTGATTTCCTGGTTTCTTGTTTTGTCACAAGCTTCACATTATTAAAGACTGCAAATTGCAATTACAAATCTCTTGTGTTGCTTTCCTTTCAATGTCATCCTTTGAATGTCCTACAAACATTTATTTGAAAGATGGCAAACCTTTTAGTTCTTTGTTGCTAACTCTTTGCTATTATTATATAAAGAGGTTCTTCTTCTTGCAACAATATGATAGGGAAAAGGAGCCTACTGCACAAGGGCTGAGTACAGGGAGAGTTCTAAAGATTCCCCTAAACTTTGCTTTCTAAACCTCCAGGAACAAAACTTGTTCAATGAAAAGGACTAATGCATACAATTTCAAACTCCAGTTCAATGTCACATTAAGAAGCTGTGTTTCATCCCTTACACTTTCTTTCACTCAGTTCTTCTTTCCAGTATCAACAGTAAGCAAACACTTAGCATATGGATAAGTCAGCACTAGTAGTACGAGAAGACTTTTCAAGTTTATCACATGCTGTTGTTGACTGTATCTTTTAAAATCTAGACAATGATTTAAAAGTTATTTTTCCATTTTAAACTTCTAAATTTCTGTATAGAGTTGAGGTTTTTTAAGCTACGACAAGAAATAATAACTACAGCATAGTGGTTTTAGATAATTTTCCTTAAACTTCAAGCTATCTGGATACCCTATATATTTTCATCTCTTCTTTCACATCTGAAACAAACATCACAGCCAAACAATGACAATCACAACAGAGGTGCCCAGATAAGATTTGTAGTGTGAAACTCTCATAGATCTCATATGTGAATCACAATCACTGTTACAGATGCAGATCTAATACTGCTTTTGTTTTACTATCAAAAGCAATAAATCACATGAAAATCATTAAAGTTGGCTGAAACAGCAAAGCTGACATGCAAATAGCACCATGCTTGAACTTGACACCTACTGTATCTCTAGAGCAATGCATAGGTTTGACTAGGTGTGCACTTCTGACCCTTCATTCAAGCTATACAGGTACTTTTTATCTCTGGAATATATGGCAAGTGTTCTCAAAAGACTTTTCTAATTTTACGCTCTTCATTCTTGAATGTTCAATTCAAAACACTTCTTGGCTGATTTTCAGAAACGCTTAGCACTCACAAATCTTACAGGGTTCCATTATAAATCCATCCAGAAACTGAAACAGGTGCATCTGCAGCAATCTAATCTACTCCACTGCTATTGCATATAAAAAGAAATGCTATAATAGACATCCTGGCCTTATTCTTTCTCAGGGAGTATTTACTTAGTGAGGGAAATGTAATATTGGGTCTTGGTGAAGAAGAATGTCTTGCATTTGAAAGCTTGTCTAACTGAATCCCAACTAAATCGTTGGCCCAATAAAAGATATTGCCCTAACAAATCCTTGCCATAAATAAGACATTCACTCACTATCTGAACATGAGGCTAAATTCACAGGGGAAAAGCACATCAAGGCAGTTCATTAGAAATGTCCATTCAACCAGGTATAATTTCTAATACCTGCTGTGTAGAGCATTTGGTAACACATACAGGTTTAAGAAAAAATAAAGCTTTTAATCTCTCTCAAGTTCCTTGTATGTTTGAAAAGGAAAACTAGGTGGCTCATATTTACAAAGCCGTACTCCATGTACAGTATTTTCATAGCTAGAAGCAGTTCTGACATCTACATTTTCATTTTGCAAATGTTGTAGTAATTTGCTGCTCTTGCAGCAAACCATGAATTCTTGTGTCCGTTCCAAAGAACAGGGCAAGGAGAATAACACAAACTGGAAAACATGAGACTAAAGAAACACAGTGGGCACATCTACACGTACAATTAATTTGACTGAATAAACTCCAGCACATTTCACACTTGAGTTTATTGCTCCTGGGTTCCACATTCATACGTGTGCCCAGGACAGCAGCATGTTAAGCCAGGTTGGAGCAGCTCCACCTAGCACAGAGCCCAGCGGGTCAGCCTGCCACCCTGGGGCTGCTCCAACCCGGCTCAACATGCTGTCAAGGGGCTGGCTGGGGCAGAAGGGTGCTTCAGTGTGAAGTTAGCTGGCAGGCAGCCCCCTGCACTGTAACACCATTGTGCCCCTGCCAGCCCCCATCAGCACCTACACACACATTGCAGCAGAGTAAATAACACCACCGCAGGATAGGACTTGTGTTGACATAGTTAACATCTTATGTTGACACAACTAGTAGGGACTAGAAAAAGCAGCTATGGCCATATCCACATGAGCATGGACATTTGGTTCTCCAGGGACAACTAGCAGCAGGACACCTAGTGCCTCTGCTAGTTGTCCCCAGGGAATGCCTGTGCCACGTGCTCTCTGGCACACAGCAGGTTACCCTGGGTGGGGTAGGAGAGGCTGGGGCTACAGCAATGGCTGGCTCAGCTCTGGTTTTGACCAGCATGCACTGCCCCCGTGTACATGATATGCTTTTTTTTTTTACCCTTGAATATGCAGGGGTAAAAAAAAAAACCACACTGCTCCCATGCAGCACAGAGAACAACTGAATGTGTGGTATGTGGCACCACAGATGTGTCCGCTGCACAACATACTGCATGGTTGCACTTGTCTAGATGCAGCCTATGAGAGTAACATTTCAGGTCTGCTCCTATCAAAGCCTGTTTGTGCTTAACTTTATGTGCTGTGAACAGACTGCTCCCAGGCATAAAACAGAGCACGTGACGTGTCTTTACAGGATCAGGACCTAATCTGTGGAAGACACAACTGCTTAGTCTCCTTTAGTGCAATTATTACAGTTACACTCACAGATACCAGGTTTTGCATATAGAAACTACCTAATCAATGAACGAGAGAAAATGGAGAAGTCAAGAATTTATGTGAAAGCAGAAAATAGATAAAAACTATAAGAATTAAAAATGTGAGAAATAGAAAACACCTAGTAAATTATCTAATGAATACCCCACCTGCCAATGCAGAATTGTTCCTTGTAGAATATTCTTCAGCACCTTGTCCACCCTGTTTTAGATTTTTTAAGCCCGAAGGCTTATACCTCCCCATGTGAGCAATTTAGAACAGTAAAGTGTTGGAATGAATAAGAAATAAAAGACTTGTGGCATGGGGGTTACCCTTCACAATATGCAATATTAAGAAGTGACAGAGGAGAAGAAAAGAAAACAGGTCTGGGAAAGAGAGAATGTGTTTCATGTGAGGTTCTGAAAGTGCCTAGGGAAAGGATGGGATAGGTGGTCTTCACACACTCTTTTTAGCCCCTCGGTCCTGGCTAAGAAGCAGCGTTGCCAGATAAGAAAAATGGTGACACTGTCTGAAATGTCAATATTATTGTTTTTAATGAAACATACTGTACACACCAACAAATGGAAGTGTACAAATGTATTTTTTTCTTTCTTACTATATGACCCTGCTGCCATAAATGTCAAATATTGTGATCCTTTCACTTACTTCACATCTCAGTCAAGTTCCACTCTAGAATTGACATCCTCTGCTGCTACATACTCGCCTTTAAAAACAGTCATGGGTATGACCTGCCTCCAAGCAAGTCAGCAAGCATGAGACACAACACAAAGCTAATTTAAGGTCATCTAAAGATAGAAAATTGATCAAATATGAACATTTTATTTCAAATGCAATCATTCTTTGATGTTCCTGAATTCTCAGGCATTTTGATCCGTTTCATAGTTATCTACTGTATACTACGCTAGAGTCAAATTTATCAGATCAGTTCAGTAACTACAGTGGAACTGGCAACATTGCTCAAAAGTAAGTAACCTCAGAGAGAGAATGGTGCAGAAGGGAGTTACAAGGGACCAAGAACCTGCCTTTCTTTTATAGCCCAGTCATTCTTTCACAGCAATATAAATAGAGCAATATGATTCATCAAATGCTTATTTTTAATTAACATAAGAATAAAGTCTTAATATATCTTTTGACTGGATGATCTGGTTAAGTCTCATAGTTGCTACTGCATAACAGCTAAAAGTTATATGTCATTAGGATGATAGACCATTATTATATTCACATATTACACATCCCTGAACAAGACACACACTTTGTTTTGGGAAGGCAGACAGGAGAAAAAAATGTGTTTAGAATCTTATCTGCTACAGCAAGGGCTCACTATGGCTGAACACTCGCCATACGGTACAGGAACCGAGTTCACTCATCAGCATCACCCACCCTTTTCCTGCAGCTCCATAGCTAGAACTGGCAGCAGCTTTTCTTTGCTCAGCCAAATGTGGCAACAGCAATGAGAGGGATAAACCTCTACATGCGGAGCTGAAAGGTGAGTGACCTGATGAGTGGACTCCATCCCTGCTCTATCTGGCTGGGAGCTAGTTACAGCCCCCATCGGCCATTTCAGCATCTTTGAGCATCTTTATACATGCTCCAGGGGTGGGAGTGTGAGGTATTTAATTAGAGTGGCTCTTAGGAGCCACTCCAATTAAAGCGCCTACAGCATCTCTTGTATTCAGCATCCTGTGCTTCACAAAGGTGGTGGGGGCATTCAACAAGCTTTAGTTAAAGCGCCCCTACTGCCATTGTGAAGTGCAGGGATGCTGAATACATGAGATGTCGAGGCGGCTGGAGCGTGCTAATTAGCATGCTCCAGCAGACTCAATTAATTAAGTCAATTAAGTGTGTCTGCTCCAATGCACTGTAACTACAGTGCGCCGTGGCAGACATCCCACATGTCTACAAGCTCCCAGCCTCCATTCCACCCTAAAAATCAGTTTCCACACCTAAAATGCACACCCCTATTTTGGATTGGGTAATTTTCATTGAAAGGGTGCATGATGTTCATGAGTAAAGATGGTATTCTTCTTTTAGATAATCTATTTGCTACTTACCAAATTCACTGTTAAGCGTATGGTCTCTAGGAAGGATAGATTGTGAATTCCGAATATTTCCTCCACCCACAAACCAGTTCACATTGGGGTTCCAGTGGTTCCTGAAGCCACACAGATGATTTTCTTCAAAGTCACAGTCTGCAATGCAGACAGCACCATAAGGGTCTAGTAAAATCTTAGTTCACATATGGTCATTACAGAAGCTGCAAGAAAGGCCATGGCTAATCATTCACCTTATTGGCTCAGTAGAGTCAATATACCAGAACCTCCAATCTAAAAATAAAAGTTACAGAGCTATCCATGCTGGTAACAAACAAAAGCAAGCACAGAATTTCACACTTCTAGAGTCACCAGTCTTTAATGTCTGCTATAAACTTATCGTTTCACACAGTGTTCAGTTGTACTAGTCTTTGTGCCATGTGTTAATAGATCTTACTGAATGCTGGAGCACATCACTAATTAGAAAAATTCAGAAGCCAAAATAATGACACAACATAGTACAATATGAACCTGGTCTATCAGACCAGTACTGTCCCTGGTGATTTTCTGTGGGAGCCTGAGACAGGACTCTACACAATGGACTGTGTTGCAGTGAACTGCAATGAAGGGGCAGCTAAGAACCAGTGTCAGAAAACCAAGGACTGGAGCTGGATAGCTGAGCTTTGCAGCTGGAATTGTTTTAACAGGCTTGGGCCTGACATTTTACAATGGAAATAACTCAGACTGCTGTGTTCTGATTGCAAGGCCAAACATCTGTAATGATTACTGTTTAATTCCTTTGTGCTTAAAGACAGAAGATTAAAGTACACACAATTATTCAACTGTGCAAGTCTTTGATGTCAGTTATAGAAATATAATAAAATCCTAGACTAAAAGATATTATTTCACATTAAGTGTTAGTTATAGGCTCTGGAATGCAAAATATTGATCGTCCACTATCAGATTCACCTAAAGTCTCAATTACCACAATTCGTTAACCTTGATAGAGATTTTTAGGACAAGCCATGGGCAATGAAGGGATTTAATCCCCTTTTTATATGTTAATAACAATCCAAATTTAACTGTGGAGCCAATGGGATACCTCCAGAAAGAAAAATGAATAGAGAGAAAGTAAAACAAGGGGCTTTATGTCCACTATTTACAGCAGTCTAACTTTGGGAGAGTACTGCAGTAGGTCCTGTTATAGGAACAAGTAGTCCAGAAATAAAAGCATAAATAGAAATGAGGTTCTCTTCCTTATATAGCACACATACATAGTATAAAACACACAGCTGTTCATATAAAAATGCACATAAGCTCAGCTGGAAAATTATGAAATTTTCCCCTGAATGTAATAGACTATTTTCTCTTTAATAAAAGTTTTTTATTTCCCACACACAGACATGTACCAGTAGGTCTAATTTTTAATACAGAAATATTTGTTTTCATTAGTGTACATCACAGGGAGACAAGTACTACTTACCAATACAGTATCCAGGAGTTATTTTAATTTCAAAAATTGCTATACTGGCAAACTTATCTTGTCCCAATATACCTTCCAGTACAATCTGCACAATATAAATAAAAAACACATTTTGGGTGCTAATATTTCTGTTACTTACTTAAACATCTAAACTGTAAAATGGATACAGAGTAGCCAAAGGAATATAGGGGGTCTCATTTTGTGTATAAATCACCAGAGTTGTAGCTTTAAATTTTGGCACCCAGGGCAGCATGGGGGTAGTGCTCACCTCCTCAGGAAGACTGCTGCTGTCTCAGAACAAGCTCCTCCAACATGGGCTGTGGTAGTGGTGAAGACTCCCTGGGCACTGCCATTCTGGTGTTGCCTTCAAATTTGTACCCAGGACTGGTTTCCTGGTCACCCCACTCCCTCCAATTACACTACTGATAAGCACCAGTATTTTGCTTTTTGGCAGTTTGGCAGAGAATCCAAGAACTAAATGGACATAGAGACTAAATTATTTTTCCCCTCCAACCCAGTGCTAAAACATATCTTTAGGAAGTGAGGAGGGGCCTGTTGTATTTTCCCTCCATTCTCTACCTGTTTGGTAGATAAAGGATTTCAGACCCCTCTGTTGTTGATTTGACACTTTGAAACAAATCCTTTTTCTCACAGCTTCAAACCATGTGCACAGGCATCCTACTCCCACTCCCAGCTGAGCACTCAAGCATAAGATGCAACTGTAATGCAGCAGCCAGTGATCCTAAGATGTGGATCTGAAAAAAGCCTGTTTGAGCAGGATGGGAACAAGTGTATGCTGGCAAAAAGAGCATTGTGGGTTGTGCATGCTATACCTGCTGTATCAGTGTTGCAAGTGCCCATAGGAACCATGTTCTTCACATTCCTCCCAAAGGCACTAGGACAAATTAATCCCTTATGTAACTTTGGTGACTTTAACAGCATTACACCAGAGATTAATTTAGCCTACCTTTTTATACAGGCACAAAATCTGCTCCCAGTGGTGACATGTAGGGGGTGCACAGGGGTGCATATGCACCCCCTGAGAGCACTGGTGAACCCCTGACAGGCCATGCTCCCCGCTTAGGCGATGGGCGGGGGGAAAGGGGGCAGGTGGGACCACTGGTGCCCACCCTGCGAGCACCAGCCAGGGAATGGGAGCACCAGATGAAGTGCCGCAGCCACTTCTAGGTCAGCGCAATCGGCCATGAGGGGACACCCCGCCCCCCAGTCACTGACTGATCACTGGGGGGGGGGGGCATGTGTCCCCCCTAACTAATGTGGCACCAGTTGCCCATGTCTGCTCCCATTTAAATCTTTGGAAAAGGTTCTCAATTACTCTCATAGGGCACATCTATATGTGCACTTTAATGCACATTAGCCTATTTTAATGTGCAGTAAAGCATCACAAATAGTGCTCATTAGCTAATGCACATTAAAATAGGCTAATGCACATTTTTCTGTTAGAGAGCACCAATACATGACCGCTAAGGCTGCTCCAATGTGCTGGAATTCCAGTGTGTTGGAGCAGACTCTATTAATTGAGTCTGCTGGAGCACGGTAATTGCCATGCTATAGCAGCATCCTGCATCTCATGTATCAGTTTCCCACAATTAAAAATGGTGGCAGGGCTGCTTGAACTAAAATTAATTGAATGAGCTGTAGTTTAAGCGCCCCTGCTGCCATTTTTAAGTGAAGGGATGCTGATACAGGAGATGTGGCAGCAGTTTAATTAGAGCAGCTCTCGGAGCCAACCTAATTAAAGTGCCACCCCCCAACCCTCACCCTCAGAGCACATGTAAAAGTGCCCTCACAACAGAGGTACTATATTTAGTGCACATTACATAAAGCACATTAACGAACGTGTAGATGCGCCCATAGGGGGTGGATTAGAAATAGCATTATGCAGGTACCATAGCACCACATTGGCAAGGCACCTCCTACTCCTCTCAGCTCCTACATGTGTGGTGTGTGTTTGCCTGTATGCATGCAGCTTAGAGACTTTGAGGGAAATGGCCATCATTATCCTTCTATCCAGTGTGTTGCAGTATCCTTGAGTCATAAGACAAAGATAACACCCTAAGTAAACATGTATAGTAGTGACTGGCGCCATTCAAGACAATGATTCAGATATTCCTAAATTTTCTAAGCCCATTTCTCAGAATAGAACCAGAATCTAGCAATGGCTCTAACAGAGTCATTCAGTGAGGGGGTATGGTCACAGGTACCTGCTGAAAAAAGGGTCTGAGTTAAAGGCAGCTAGTTAGCAAATGCAGGAGGTAGTAATATGTTGGAAGCAATATTACCATGAGACCAAAAGGTAAAAAAACTAACTACCACAGACTGTATAAAAAAGAGCCTGGGTATAAAATACTACTCTGTCATTTTCCCTATTCTCAAAGGAGTAGAGGGGGAGAAGCACTCAGTGCAAAAACAGTGGGCACAATTCCAAAAGGAGAGGCTGTGTGTCCTGGTGGGCAATGAAACCAATAAAAAACTTAACGTATCTGTAAAATAAGTTCTGTTGGGGTAAGTAGTTACAGATTTGGGAACACAGCCTATTCATCTGGCTTAGGTAATACTTGACTGAAACAGGGGCAACATTAATTATTTCATCTTAGGAAAAGAATTAATAGATTGATTTGGGCTGGTGACAATGGGATTCAGTTTTAAAATCCCTAGAAATTTTGGAACAAGCAGTTAACATTCCAGCTGGCATGGATTAATCCTTTCATCCTTAGGTAACTTAAATAGAGTAGCATGCATTCTATTGGGATCTTCTGAATGCTCTCTAAAAAAGCAGATGTTGTTTGCACCAAAGCACATTTTGTGGTAATGCAGAGACTGACTTATGTGTGAGCTATTTTGTGCCCAGCTCCATATGTGCAATTAACATGATATCAAGCACAAATCTGATATTAGTATGTATCTTTGGCATCCCCTAGTTTGATTTTTGAGATTAGCTGAAGTACTGTTCCCAACAGTTTTTATGTGTTAGCAACTGTGCATTACCCTGCAATCCTTGGGTGCACCTAAATCTCATTTAAGTCAGTAAGGGTGCATCTACATGTGTGCTTTACTGCGGAGCTGTGGAGCTGACTAATTAGTTGTGCAGTAAAGTGTCACTGTCTACACATGTGCTAGGGCTCAGTAAATTAATCAACTCTACTGTAGAATAGTACTGTTCAAGACAAGTACTATCCTACAGCAGAGTAGTTATGTGTGCCAAATATGTACACAGTGACTAGGGCTGGCTGGGGCACAAGGGTGCTGTAGTGTGGGGGCTGCCTGCTGGCTAGTCCTACACTATAGCACCCTCATGCCTCAGCCAGCCCCTCTGCAGCATGTTGGCCCAGGTCGGAATAGCCTCAGGCTGGCAAGCTGACCTCCCCCCAGGCCACCTGCCAGCTCAACGTGCTGTGGTCTCAGGCACACATGTAAACACTGCACCCAGGAGAAATAAACTCCAGTGTGAATGGCACTGGAGTTTATTGCTATGTGCTAACTGCACATGTAGATGCACCCTGAATGTTTTACATGTTGTAGAGGAAAGGGTTAAATCAGTCTGGGTTTCACTGGAAAAGCTTTCCTTGCAAATTCAGTTTTCTTTGTTCTCACTGCAGTTGGATTTTCCTAGTTAAAGCAACAATGAAAGCCAAAAATAATGCCCAGCAAGACAGAGTGTTTAAAAACAAACAGTAGTACATCACAGCATGTGCACAATAAATTCAGGACTACCTTCTAAAATTGTGCTTACCTTGTATTTCTTTGTACGGTTTGTTAAATCTAAACTGGCTATAAGCCAGCTATCTGAAGGTTCCTTGGCTGACCAGAGCAAACAATCAAAGCTTTCTCCTTCTTGCCTGACATAAAGATTCAGCCTGGTAGGATCAGATAAAGACTCTAAACTTGTTGCAATCTGATAGATGAGTCTGATGCAGCTCCACTCTTCAGTCTGCAGTTCAGGACTGAGGAGTACTGCTCTCTCTCCTTGGGAGGAAGTATCCACAGAAATGTAATGACCTATGGACACAGAAAAAAATATACAAGATGACAAATGTCAGATACTTTAATGTTTGCATCCCTCATTAAAAACATTCATTTAAGGAAGAAATTCTGTATAGCACTTAGATCAGGATCATGAAAGCCAACACATCTACATTATGTTTCCAGCTTTTCTGGCTTCCGTTTAGAATGTTTTCTTAAAATAAAAATGCATTTAAATGGCATGTTTTATAAAATATATGTACTTCTAGTTTGGCAAGAGAAAACATAAGAAATTATTTAATTTTCAAGAATGTTCTTGAAAACACTTACAAATATTTATGAATGCCATGATTCAGCAAAGTGTCAAAGCATGTACTTAAATGTGTGAGTAGTCCCAATGGGACTATGTTCTGACTAAACTTAACCACCTATGAGGTGTTTTTAGAATTGGATCTAAAACACTAAACTTTTTATAAAACAAACAAACAAAACATAACCAGGACAAAGATACACAGGGCTCCACGTGAAGACTTGAATGTTTCAAAACCATACAACAAAAGGAAAAGAGGATGAATCACATGCAAAAGAGGGAGAGACAGAGAGAAAGAAAATATACCACTATCCTACAGGTATTACTATAGCAAATCCCAGTCTGAAACCAAAAGTAGGAGCACAGAAGAATCAAGGATGGGGAAGGGAGAGAGACAGTAGTGAGTGAAACAGAAAAAAAGATTAAGTACACTTCAAGGAAAAGGCAAAGCTCTACACCCCATTTCTAACATATTACCTACACAGAATGAGTAGATATTATAAGACCTAGGACCCATTCCTGTGGCCAGCATGATCCTATTTTCCATTCTAGCAAATCACCTACACATCTTGTAAAATTTTGAAAAACTACTATTGAAGCACATAAGGGATAAATCCTGGTCACAGCAAGTAATACAAGGACTGGAAGCAAAGGGTGTGCCTTGCACCATGGCTGGGAGGTACCAAAAGTCGTCTCAGTAATATAGGAAGTGGATCTTTAGCACAGCATCTCCTACCCTGTTACTCCCCACTAACAGGTGTTTAGTTAATGGTTTCACATGGAGTTCAGTGCTCAGTTGGTTCTACAAGGTATATAAACGTATGTTTAACTTTAAACACACAAGCAGATGCACTGAAGTTAAGCACATATATTACTTACTGATCTGGGGCTTCGGTGACACCAGCCCCTCTCCTAATTGCTGACTGAGCAATACCAGGGAAATAATGCTGGGACCCTCAGATACCCAACTAAAGGGTTTAGTTCCCTTGTATACTTTTCATAGTCTTCTCACATCCATAGTGTTTGTCCTCTGAGCAGTGATTAACCTTCTCTCTGGTTAGTTTGGTGCCACCCTGCCCTGCCTTCTGTATAACAAAAAACAGAGCCAGAGTCATTATCCCTGTTCTTGTACTGCAGTGGGGATGGTACCTGATCTTTGCTGGAGATCTAAAAGCTGTTTCCCAAACTTTTTGTTGCTTGCTTGCCTCCACATTGCTCCTCCAACATGTTCTTTTGCTCAGTTGTATGTATTCTGCTCATATTTCCGAAACAGAATCTATTAGAGCCTCTTTCCTTTGTTGGGAATGGAATCATTTTTATATCTTGCCATGACACCTCCTTTTAAGAAAGAACCCTACCGTATATGATTTTCTTCTCTAGGTCTCAGAGCATATCCCATATTAAATGTTAATTATGACGAGTGTCTTGCTACTTAAAAATATATACAAGAAAAGCAGATAAAGGCCTGGTATTTAAAAATGCATGTCCAGTGTGCCAGCTGAATATGTGGGTGTGCATAAAATATACAGTACAATATGCAAGTCAGGTGGTTTGTGAGGTTTGGCATTCACAATATCTGTATGACGCATTCAATTCCTGTGTGTTCAGGTTCCAAATGTTAGTAAAACATTTGGAACCTGAACACACAGGAATTGAATGATACACATTCAATATATGTGATGTATATTCAATATACACATAGATAAACATTATGAGATGTTTATCTACGTGGTCTTTAAAAGGAAGAGTCACTATTGTATTTCTATTTATAATTACCAATATAACCCTAAAAATATTGTCTTCCTAACTCTATTAGGTTTCTCCTTAATCTAAATCATCCCTTTAGAGATATTTTAGCTCCTAACATGAGTAATTAATTAGATCCATTTCTGTGTGTTAAATCTGAGTTATTTTAATCAGACTTTTTGATTCATATAAAATTAGTAGGGATGCAGCAACAGAGATTTTTTGGGCTGATACCGATGGCCAATTTTTAACAAGCCATATCAGCTGGTACCAATCTGATTGCTGATATGCAGCTGGGCAGCTTGGAGAGCAGCTTCCAGTTGGTAAGTCTGTTGTGGGGGAAGGAAGGAGTGTGGGAGGGAAGGGCATGGGGGGGCAGATCAAGGCCCCCACAGTGAAGGAGGGAGTGGGGCTGGGGTAGGGGCAGGCACTGCACAGGTGGGACAGGGTGCAGGATGGAGTCACAAGTGGCTCATCTGGGGTACCACCACCACCCACCCTGAGCACAACCCTGGCTCAGCCCCCTCAACTGGGAAGAGCCCAGTACCATCCCCGGCTCCAGCCCACAGCAGCAGGCCACCCTTGCCCTGTGTGCAGATCTGTAGGCACATGCCCCCCGTGCCCTCCCAGGGTGCATGCAGCAGCGGGAGCTACTACTCCTCCCCATGCCCCTCCAAATGAGCTGCTCGTGGTTCTATCCTGCACCCCAACCTGGCTATGCAGTGCCTTCCCTGACCCAGCCCCACTCCCTCCCCCATCATGGGGGCCTCAATCTGACCCCCCGCACCCACATGCCTCTTTCCTCACAATAGACTTACCAGCCAGACCTGGCTTCTCTCTACACTGCTGGGCTCTGCTCCTGGCTATCTGGGTGCTGTGCTACAGCTGCATGCATGCACATGGCATTTATTGGCCACATTATCAGCCACATCAGCCAAAAAAAGCCAATTGCTGATACTACCAATTTTCCTTATATCGGTGCTGATCCAATATGGGACCAGTGTATCGATGCACCTCTAAAAATTAGTCACCAGTAAATGAAATTACAGGAAAAAAATAGTGTAGAGAAGTATTATTGCATTTTCACCTGGTTTGAAAATGACAAGAACATTTAATTCTAAGAATCATGGCTTGCCTGGACAAAAAGCTGCTCTTACACAAGCAAAAAGAACTCTTTGATCTCAGATATCTATCATTGTAGCTCTACATATTTTAACTGAGTGGCTCCTAACGTAAACACATGAAATGGACACCAGCCAAACTCCATGTTTAGAAAACATGTGGTGTTTGAAAAATGCTAAACAGAGTCAAATGTAACATTTCTAGGGTTTGTTTTCTTTTTATCAATATCCATCTCAGACAGAGAATCTGGTTTTCAAGATGGTCCTACTTTTTCCACATTTAAGACATGGATACAAAGCATATAATTCAGAGCCCATGCATAGCAATTGCAGTTTAGTTGCAGTTTAGTTTCAGTCCTATTTTTGTTTAAAATATATCTTTTAAAAAAACATAGAAATACAACCCCCTTACAGTTACAAACCATAATGTTCATCATTTTTTGTTTTTTCAAAAATGATTAGTATAAAAACAGAGAAAATTATATTTAAATAGAGACCTCAAATTACCAACTGCATGGCTCAAATGTTTTTCTAACATGAAGAATGAATCATAAGTAGACTAAAGCTCTTCTCCCAAAAAATTTTTTTTTTTTAATATCCTTTCTTATCTCCACTCTGGATGATTATGTCACCATTTTGATTCCACACCCTGAATATATTATTCATACATTCTCAATTGACCTAGTCTCCACTAAAATGAAAAAATATAATCTGATTAAAGCAAAAGTATAAAATCTACCTCTTGAGTCAGGCCTTGCTGAGATTAATCTGACCAGTGCATTTTGTACACTAAAGCTTGCCGTGAGGCTACAAGGCTCAGCAAAAAATAGAGTGCTCTTGCCAGTATCAGCAAAGGATTTCAGCAAAGCCTTACCTTCCAGCATCTAAGTGGTTCCACTGAATTAAATGGGGCCGCTGATGGGCTCTGAGTGAAGTGCTTTTTCAAAAAAAAAACAAGTTTTGCTGATTGGGGATCAGTGATCAGTATTTTGCAGGATCGAGTCTAGAAAAACTCAATGTTAAATCTCTTACAAATGAATGCAAAGCATTTAGCCAAAGGCACTGAGTTGTGACTGGTCCCAGAGCAATTATGAGGGGGAACTTAAAGGGTTTTAACCAAGAAAGGCTTCCCAGAGCAGAAATGTGCAATGTGCCACATGCACATGCATGAGTGGTGCCTCCTCCACCCAGCAAGAAAGAACAATTTTGCCTCCAGAAGTTCAATACTGTTTGGGAATTCTTTAAGAGTAACAAACATGTGATGTTTAATACCCTGCTGAGTGCTTCCTACGCTCATTCACACACACACACACACACACACACACACACACACACACACACACACACACACACACACACACACACACACACACAGCATTGTAGCCTGAGCTGGGTAGATCTCTTATTAAGGGCTTAGGGACGAGATTCATGTGAATGATGAATGGCAAATCTGAGTTTATTTTCCAGCATTCTATGTATAAAAATATTCCTCATGTTTCCCTGCCCTTTAACAACACGGAGCATTTCATTTACTACTGATCAATCACACAGAATTATCAAAAAGAGCTACACTATAATGTACCAATTGGCACAGACAGAAGTGACAGTTTTAAAGTGATCTGGCCACTGAAAGCACTCTACAGCCTTGACTTAGCACACATGCATGGCTGCAGAGTGCTTTAAAAATGGCCAATCACATAATACCTGTAATACCTGGTTAGAACAGGTATTAAATTAAATTAAGGTGCTCAAAAGCAGAGCACCTTAGGGAACTTGTGTTCCCTCCAGGATTGGGATGCTGCTGGCTGCTTAATGGCAAGAGATGGGGGAAGCGAGGGGGAATGCAGCCCCCTCATGCC